TGTATGTTCGCACAGCGCCTAGTGCAACTGGGCCCCGACCTGCTTGGCCTCTGGGCTCTACTCCAATATAAGTGTGAAATACCGATAATGAGGCTAAGGCAGCCCTCTGCACCAGCACAGAGCCGTATTGAAATCAACAGAGCTCCACGACTGTTGGACTGAGAGCAAATGAAGGCAAGAGACAATGTGAGAGAGCATCCAAAATGGGATGGGAATAGGGGGTAACATTAGAGAAAAAACATGCGCTTACTATAGGTTGTTATGTGTACTACCTGATGGCATTAAATATATATATATATGCATGATATATACACATACACCTGCGTCTATATTTACCCCATCTACACATGCATAAATAAACTCAGCGTGCTGTTTATTTCACTTGATTGAAATGTACGTGGATGATTTATGGGCATTGTCTGGGTTAATTGGCTCCTGGCGCCAAGGCACCTGTGGCCTCCCGGTGACCCTTTAGTAATGCCAAGGAGGAAGAAATTAGCCACGCCCAGGGAGCCAAGGAGACATGCTAGTTTGTCTGCTGGTGGGAACCTGATTCCAGGTATTGCAGCTGCTTTGTGCCACACGCCGGTTACTTTGTAAGGAAGGAAAGGGGCTGTGGGGGGAGCAGCAGAAATGGGGATACAGATTAGGAAGCTACTGTCCCTAAGTATCTCTGGTCAGATCCTTAGCTGGCGTGACTCCACAAAGTTTAACGGTGCTGCCTTGATTTACCAGCTGATGATCTGACCGTCTGTGTCTAGGTTTGAAAATCCCAGGTGGGTGCTGGCTAGGAGATCCTAAGGGAATGTCTCCTGTCGCTCCCCTTCCTTTGCTTTGCTGGTGTGTTCCTCCCATCTGCCAACTGATTAGAAGTCAAGGTCGTTTAGCCCCCACTTCTCTGTAAATAGCAGAGGGGAAGTGGAGCTGATACCTAGGCTGACCTATTGCTCCTGGCCTGGATTGTTTCTCCACCTTGTGCAGGGCTATCAGCAAAGGGAATTTTCCATCCCCTTGCTGCAGAGTTCCCGGGGAAAGAAAGTCTGGCATTTGCAGTCAGGGTGGCTGTGACATGGGGGTGGGGGCTGACAAGCTGCTGCTCCCCAAATGTGATAGTGGGGAATGATGAACCCTTCCAATGTCTGTGGCTCTGGGGCTTTGCTTCAGACATCCCCCGTTTCTGCCCACCCCCAATGGGTTGGTTGCTAAACACAGCACCACATGCTGCTGGGGCTCACTCTTCACCAGCCGCCCCTTGCTGGCTTGGGTCCCGCCTGCCCCCTTCTCTCCCAAACAAGATGGGTCAGAGCTCGATGAGCTGGGTGCTGAGCTCTGTTGAAAATCTGGCCGTAAGCAGCACAGTGGGAGGTGCTGGAAAATCTGGCTTTGAGCTCTTCTGAAAATCTACTCTTTGTGTGCAACCGGATCACTTGCCACCCTGGGATCTTCTAACTGGGGCCCATAAGCTAGTTGGGAAAAGCCCTGGTTTTCTTGCCTTCCAAATGCATCAAGTATCAGGTATTGCTTAAAAAAACCAAATCCCCCCATGGCCTGGTACCTTTGGCCCCTCCTAGAAAGGACTAATCAGCCAGCAGGAGGTGATGCTGTTCTGATTGCTAGAGGAGCAGCTGCAGTTCCAATATGTAAGTAACGGACGTGAATTTCCCGCTCTCGGGCTTGATTGGCCTGTTGGTGGGTTTTATAGATCCGGGCCCTATGCTGTGAATGTGGGAGGGGACAGCAGATGGATGCAATGCACAGGACAGACACCCCCCAACAGCAGAGGCCGTGTTGGACGGGGGCAGGGAAGAGTCCGTGCTCCGCTGCGGCCTACAGAGCATAAAACTTGCGTGCGAGGCTGCAGCGTGGCCTGGAATGACAAATGGCTCAGACAGAAACGGCTTCCTCAGCTCTGTTCCCAGCCGGAAAACACTAAACAACTCATTGTTTTCAAGGTTACATTTGAGGAGCAGAACAAACATGGCCGCTTCCCTGCCTCAGTGAGACTGTGGGTCTAATAGCTCCTTGGGGATGGGAGGCTGAGAAGCAAGACATCCTGCCCTAATTCACTCTTCCCTTGTTCTCTTTAACAGGCTTGGTGATATCCTGGGGATGGGCTAGGGTCTTTGGGGCACTCTTCAGCTGTGGGAGGGAAGCTTGGATTAGCGACTCAAGCAGAGAAAAGAGTCTACCCAATTTTCTGCATAAATAAATCTCTGGTTTAAGACCAGACCTGGTTTAGCTACTTTAAATCAGTGGCTCTCAGCCTTTCCAGACTGCTGTACCCTTTCAGGGGTCTGATTTGTCTTGTGTGCCCCAAGTTACACCTCACTTAAAAACGACTTGCTTACAAAATCAGACCTAAAAATACAAAAGTGTCACCGCCGCACTACTACTGAAACCTTGCTGACTTTCTCGTTGTTACCATATAATTATAAAATCAATCAATTGGAATATAAATATTGTACTTACGATTCAGTGTATAGTATATAGAGCAGTATAAACCAGTCATGGTCTGTAGGAAACTGACTTCGCTAGTGTTTTTTATGTAGTCTGTTGTAAAACTAAGCAAATATCTAGATGAGTTGATGTACCCACTGGAAGACCTCTGCGTACTCCCAGGGGTACGCGAACCCCTGGTTGAGAACCACTGCAGATCCATCAAGATGTGGTTTGATTCCTGCATACTGGCATGTTGGTTGCATGTTGCTCTGTCTCATTAAACCAGGGCAGTCATGCGTGTGTATTTGAAAAATGTGATGTTGTTTGGATTGGTCTGAGCCCTTTTCTTAGCCCTTTCCCACTCCCCCCTCACCTGAGCCATCTTGCGGCCAAGTACTACGATAGACCACATCAGTACTTGCTACAGCAGGGGTGGGCAAACTTTTTGGTCCGAGGGCCACATCTGGATATGGAAATTGTATGACAGGCCATGAATTGGGGGTTGGGGTGCAGGAGGGGGTGCGGGCTCTGGGGTGGGGCCAGAAATGAGGAGTTCAGGGTATGGGAGGGGGCTCCGGACTGGGACAGGAGGTTGGGGTGCGGGGGGAGGGGGGAGGGCTCCAGCTGGGGGTGCTGGCTCTGGGGTGGGATTGGGGATGAGGGGTTGGGGGTGCAGGAGGGTGCTCTGGGCTGGGACTGAGGGGCTCAGAGGGCAGGGGGGATCAGGGCTAGGGCAGGGGGTTGGGGTGCAGGAGGGGGTCACGGGTGCAGGCTCCGGGCGGCGCTTACCTCAAGCAGCTCCTGGAAGCAGCGGCATGTCCCCCTTCCAGCTCCTACGCGGAGGCACAGCCAGGCAGCACTGCGCGCTGCCCCGTCCGCAGGTGCTGCCCCTGCAGCTCCCATTGGCCACAGTTCCTGGCCAATAGGAGTTACGGTGGCGACACTTGTGGCGGGGGCAGCATGTGGAGCCCCCTGCCTGCCCCTACGCATAGGAGCTAGAGGGGGGACATGCCACTGCTTTTGGGAGCCATGTGGAGTGGGGCAAGCCCCGGACCCCGCTCCCCAGCGGGAGTGGGAGGGCTGGATTAAAATGTCTGAAGGGCTGGATGTGGCCCCCGGGCCATAGTTTGCCCACCCTGTGCTACAGTGAGAAGACATAGCACCTGATCCTGCACCATGCACGTTAACAGCTTTTTCATTGCCTCAAATAGGGGGAGGGCCGGACCCAAAATGTCAAGAAATCATTAAAGCTACAATGCTAACCCAGGCCAGGTGTACGCTAGGCGTGCTTTGCCAGGACAGCGACGCCAGTCTACCATACCGGCACACCGCTCTTATTGTGGACACAGCTTACCAGCAAAACCAGTATAGCTTATGGGAGACCCCCCCACACTTCCCTCCCCCGCCCGCCACACCCTCCAAAAGCAAACAAGCTTGTGCCAGAGGTGAGACCTTGGAAATGTGGCGATTTAAAGAGACTATTATAGCAAGATGTGCCAGATCCCCAGGAATTGTGTCTGTGTGAGTGAGGGACTGTATTCTAGCTGAGTTTCGCCCAGGCATTAATATCAAGGGGGGGCTAATTACTGCAAATCCCCGGACAGGTAAATCACTCCAGAGAAGTAGCAACCCCTGGGGGGAATTGTACAGACTGGTCCGAGCAGATTCAAGAGGCCCAGGGAGACGCAGGAGTTTTTGTGGATAAAGGGTCAGCTTGAACTGGCTGAGTGACCCTCACTTAGACCCGAAGCACTGATCTGAAACTGGAAGCAAGAGGGAAAGGCCTGCTGGCAGGATTGGAAGGACTGGACCTGGAGGGCCCCTGTGGAAGAGGGCGACGTCAGGTAAGCTAGCATGTGGGTAGACTGCTGTCCCGCTTTCTCAGTAGTGCTTTGGTGCTCTGGGAAGGCTGGCTGGTCACTGGTGACCCTGCCATTGACCTTTGAGAGTGAGCGAGCCACGGGTGCTGGGCTAAGGTCTCTCCCGCTGGGTTAATCGCAGTGAATCGTGGGGAGACTGGAAGCCTAAAGCCCCGATCTGCAGGGAGAGGGATGCAGGTTGCCTCCCACAGAGAACTGGGTGGGTTGAGACCTGACAGAACTCCCTTGAGCAGGTTCGGTTCCCTCCAGAACTGTAACAAAGCTATACCAGCAAAAGCACATTTTGGCTGGGATAACTGGGGGCTTGTGCCAGCACAACTCTGTCGGTCGGGGATCAAACACCCCTGTTTGATGTAGCTATATTGTCAAAAATGCCCCAGTTGGAGCACTGAAGAAGGGCCAGGGCTTGCTATTATTACTATCCAGAGAGTCACCAATATGTTATGAAAATAATGTGAAATGGGTCCATTCTAGGGTTCAAAGTGTGTGTGTTTGGGAGGGAGGTGTCTGTCTTTGCTAACTGTGGATTTTTTGCATCTATAGATCTGAGGAATTAAAATATGGTTGAGCTCTTGCAATCCTGGATGTACCAAGCAAGAGGCGGTCTGTGGGTGTACAAGTTTATGTTTAGACTTGAATAAAACAGTGATCCATCCCCTTTTCTCACAGGGGACTGAGATTGCTAGTGGCTGCAGCCTGCTTAAGGAAACGCAAATCCTCTCCCACCTTTCTGGAAAATGATGGAAAATGAAGTGTTTGCATCGTTTACTTTCTACAGCACGATCTTGATTATAAAAATGTATGTTCTGGCCATCATTACAGGACAAGTGAGGCTCAGAAAGAAGGTACGTTCCAGCTTTTCTGCACTCCAGAACTGCCTGCGCTGCTTTGGGGTTTCTGTTAGCATTTCTGCAACTACAGAGTGTTGAGTTTGATCCTTTAAATAGTGGCTGACTGGTTTTATTGAGGCTTTGAAGCAAGTTGGAAACTATTTTATAGCTGCAGTAGATCAGCTTGGAGTGGTATGTGAATATTTTCCTCCCATCTGCAACATGTTTAGAGTAGGATTCAAAAAGATAAACAGTAATTTGCAAATCTGAAATGCTATGCAGGTGAGTTCCTTTTGGAAACAGCCTTTTCTCTAACTATCAGTTTGACAGTTGGTCTGTAAGAAACTAATTTTAAAAAAGTTGTTTAAGTGAATAGCAAAAAAACCAACCAACCAAACAAGCAAACAAAAAACAAACCTGTGGAGTCTGTTTGTGGCTTTTTAAAGGCTGAATTCCTACCTGTGTTTATTACAGGAGGACCTAACTTCTTAGGAGGTAAACAAGTCTAGAGGGAACTTGTTTTGGGGTTGGGAAGTAGAACAGAAATATTCTCCTAGTGAAGGCAGAAGAGCTAGCCTGACATGTCAACGGAAGTCAATCAAACATTAGCTCATGTTTTTTCTCCTCTTGCTAGGACATTCTGTCCTTTTTCCTTTAAAAAAAAAAAAATCCCAACTGAATGCCCTGCAACAAAGAGAAATCTGCTATAAAGCACTTCAAAAACCTTAGTAAAAATTCTACTGGAAACTGGTCAAGGGGTGTGTGTGTGTGTGTGTGTGTGTGTGTGTGTGTGTGTATACACTACTGTGCTGTAACTCTGATGTACTCAACGTGGTTTGGGCTTGCACTGTCAATCCCAAATCATTCAACTTCCCTGCACAGTGCTACGGCACTGCTAAAATCCAAGGCTCTACAATGATTAAGGAACAGAGTCGGGTCCTTTCTGTGCTGCAAGACCAGACTGCCACTGCTGTAAATGGGTCCCAGCATCGCAATTCCTATAAGATATGTGGGGACAGGCTATTTATCCAAATCTGAACTCTGTGATCAGTGAGTCGTGTAATTATCCTTGATGTACATATGACTCACTAAGTTCAAAAAGCATGTTAAAGCTACTTAACCAAATGCCAGTTCAGGAAATGGTATTATAGCTGTACTTCTAAAGGAAAAAAAAACCCCTTCTGATTTCATGGGACAAAGAATTCTTTGCCATTTCTGGTAATTGTTTGGTTTTTTGATCACTGCATTGCACTATTAAACAGCTGCCGTGTACCATCCCGGAGGCAGCTGCATTTCAGTGCTAGGTGAAGGGGCTCCTGTATTATATAACAGATCAATGGTGGTGAAATTGAGTTAAGCTTGCAGTGTGGCTTTGATCATAGGTGGCACACAAAGGGGGACACCAGCTAAAGGGGGGCACGTGACACCCCCCCACATGACTCCTCCATGTGACTCCTCTCTGCCCTGTCCCCAGCCTGGAGGCCCTGAGCTCTCCCTGTCCCCTCCCCATTCCACGTTACCTGGGGGAGAGGGGGCTCAGTCCTCCCACTGCACTGGGTACCGATTTCAGTGGCTACCGATTTCTGAACCGCCGGGCTCTCCTGGGAACCAGAGCAGCGAAAGGAGCAGAACATGGGGTTGCTAGGTAGCCCCACGCCGGCAGCTCCTCCGGTGCAGCTGTACTGCCCCCAGCCCAGCCCCCAGCCCTGTCCTCCCGCGAGGCTATACAGACCCAGACAGGAGACACAGCTGCGTGGAAGGGCTGGGGGCGGGGCGACCCCATGTTCTGTGGCGGTTCCCTGCTGAATGTGCCACCCCCAGGCATCTGGGGAGCAGCATCTGATCATTCTTGTCTCTCCCAGGTGTCGCCTTTGGCTTTGATTACAACCCTGGTCGCTCAGACCTGTCTTGCTTTCCCATGCTTGGGCTCTGTTTGAAGGTGGTGTTAATATGATGGCACTAGAAATATGTGGGTTCCTTCTCACCCTCGCATACGGTTCAGCCTTTTGAGACAATCACTTCCTCCTCCCTGAACCTCCGAACAAATGCGTGAAAAGGGTGAAATCCTGGTCCCCCTGGAGTCAGTTTTGCACTGTGTCCAACAAGGCCAGAATTTCACCCCAAGTCTGGAAAACCTCAGCCCCCGAAAGCTTCAGACTGTATTGTAAGCAACTGGAAAAGGGGGCGAGAATGGAAATTCCGAGGAATAGCGGTCACTGCTGCTGTGTGCAATAAACACTAGGGCTGAGATTCTCCCAAGTCCCACTGACTTTTGAAGATCTGGGCCCCAGTACCCACTAAGATACTTCAACATTGCTCTGCTCAGCATTGCGGTGCCTAGGCAGTCGGAGGCCCGGTGGAATTCTCAGCCCCAAGCTAGGAGCCTCGGCTCCCCGGTCAATGCAGGGGGAGCATTAGGCGCCTAATGCAACTCATCTAAGCTAGACAGGAGTGAAATGCCAAGGAGGGGGCTTAGATATCTTAAGAGCTGACCTGGTGCCCTTGGAAGGTCAGAGATAGGTGCCTCCATCTCCTGGAGCTAGGCTCCAAAGCCAAGTCAGCCACTCAGATAGTCCATGCCCTAGAAGCCAACACTGTGTGTGTGTTTCTCTCATGCTTTCCCTGTGCCCCCAGTTGTCTCGTTGTGGGGTGCTGTGCTCTCCCCCCTCCACGCACACATACCTATTGGAGGCTTGTATCCAGCCCTCCTGCAATGGGGTCTGACAGGGATCGGGTCTTTGGGTAGAGCACGCCGATGGGTCCCATTGGCAGGATAGGCATTCTTGTGTTTTGGGCCCTGCGTGGCTTAGGCTTGAGCGAGGGCTCTGAGCAGCTTGCTAGCTGTGGGTCGGCATCAGGGCTTAGGCAGCATTTCAAATGCTGATTGGTTGAAACACAAGCACCACAGGGATCTTGGTACCTATGGGGCTGGGTGGCAGCTGAGGGCTGTTTTGAACATGTCAGTGGTGCCCAAAGAGGCAGATGAGGCCCCTAAATACCTTTGAGGAGCTGGGCCTGGGTCTCCATATCCCTAAGCAGCTTTGACAGTCTCAGCCAAAGAGCCGGATCCTGCAAACGCTTGTCAGAGCAACTTGCATGCTCCAGTGGCCTGAGTACGTGACTGAATTAATCACGTGCAGGGGAGTTGGCAGGACTGGGCCCCAAGACTGTGCGTAAAAGCTGCACACTTAATGAGGAACAGAAAGGGATCACCTCCTACACGCTATGTGCAGTCCAGAGGAGCTGGCCTTGCCATGGGAACATTAACTCCCCGTTTCCTGGCTCCCTTTTCGGTGAGCAACCTTCACATTGTGCAGGAAACTCAATTGCGCTTAGCGTCCTAGCTCTGGAGCCCTGCAAATCCGTGGCGAGCTGCCGATCGGATGCGGATACAAATGTCGTATCTGCGCAGGGCTATACGCCTGATGCCCCCATGAGTCTTGGTGGGAAGCATCTCCTCACGCCTCTGAGACGGCAATTCTCTCTTGCAGGCTTTCGCCAATCCAGAGGACGCCCTGAGGAACGGAGGGCTGCAGTACTGTCGAGAGGACCCAGACGTGGAGCGATGCCGCAGGCAAGTGCTGTACTGTGAATTCCATTGGCCAGCACGTGGCTGGAATTCCTCTTGTGCGGCGAAACGCTCCTCAGCAGCTGCTCGGTGTCACGGGAAAGGCAAAGCGAAGGGCTCATTAATTCGGCAATTAGCTACATGGATTGATCAACAGGGGCCTGAAGCGGGATCCCATCAGCTCCTGGTGCTGGGGCTAGTTAAATATTAAATGGAGGCACTGGCTCATGAAACACGGATGGATTCATGCCTGGGGTCCTAAAGCCATCAACGCCGGGGTCCCATTATAACTGGTTCCTTAGGGTCCAGATTTTCAGAGTGTCCCAGATGATTGTGGCCATGTCTTGAATTAATGCACTAAGGTTCCCCCAGCCCCCCCCCCCACCCCCAGCTCTGCCAGACCCAAATCTCCACTAATCCCCACACAGCTCTGACAATGGAATGCTCTGGACTCCCACACAATTCTGCCAGTGCACCTTGCTCACCGTTTCAGTCCTAGGTCTAAGAAGAGACAGTCGGTCATGTCACATTGCATGTTGGTTTTGCCTCTAATGGGAACGAATAAGGTTGAGACCCCGTGCCCCCAATCTGAGATCACGTGTGCTCCTGGCTAGATTTGAACCCAGCTCTCCAAAAGGTGCCAGGCTAGTGCATTCACCCACAGATGCTGTAGCTTCACGAGGAATTTTAAACCTGTATTAAGGAACTCGGTTTTACATGACAGTGAAACCATAGCTAAGGCCTAGTCTATGCTACAGAGTTAGGTTGCCATACGGGGGGAGGGATAGCTCAGTGGCTTGAGCATTGGCCTGCTAAACCCAGGGTTGTGAGTTCAATCCTTGAGGGGGCCACTTAGGGATCTGGGGCAAAATCAGTACTTGGTCCTGCTAGTGAAGGCAGGGGGCTGGACTCGATGACCTTTCAGGGTCTCTTCCAGTTCTCTGAGATAGGCAGCTTACAGCGACCTAACTCTGTAAGCGTCTACACTAAAATGTCACTCCCACCAATGTAATTTGCCGACTTAATAACGCCACCTCCGTGAGAGGCGTAGAGCTTAAGTCGATGTAGTTAGGTGGATGCAGTGTCAGTGTAGACTCTGCATTGCTTAGATCGACTGTGGCTGCCTTTCAGAAGCCATCCCACAATGCCCTGCACCTTAAATCGATACAAGCGCTCCCGGTGAGGACGTGCACCATGGACACAAGGAGCATAGTGTGGACGTGCAAATGTGATTTAATTGCTGTACGGCGACATAGCTTAGGTCGACTTAATTTTGTAGTGTAGACTTGCCCTAAGCGTGCGTGCGTGTGTGTGTGTGTGTCAGGGCCGGCTCCAGGCACCAGCGAAGAAAACAGGTGCGTGGGGCGGCCAATACAAAGGGGCGTCACTCCGTCCATTATTGGGGCGGCACGTCCGGGTCTTCGGCGGCAATTCGGCGGCGGGTCCTTCACTCCCTCTCTTCCTCTTTGGCGGCACTTCGGCAGCAGCTCAATCTTTTTTTTTTTTCCGCCGCTTGGGGCGGCAAAAAAGCTGGAGCCGGCCCTGGTGTGTGTGTGTGTTAGCCAGGTCACTGTAAAATGTTAATGCAGACAAGGTTCTGTAGTTATAATTGTGATGTGTCAAAGCAGGCTCCGCCATGGGGCATAGTGTTTGATTTCACCTCACTACATTAAAAGGATCAGTACAAACTGCCTGTGCATTGCCTCCATGGGAATTTTGTTATCCCATGGGATAACGGATGGGAACGCTAAAATCCCCTTTTTTTTTTGGCAGTGAAGACGTAGCCCTAGTGAAGACAAGGCAGGATTAATTTTAACCCTTGTTGGCTGGTCAAAGTAAACCCCAAGGAGAGCTTAGAGTCTACCTTGGGTTACAGAGACAACTGCTGTGTCTTAACTAACCCACGTTACAATGCTAGCGAACTCTTGTCCAAGTGAAGACAAAGCCTGACTTTCCCTCGAGCCCCAGCAGCTCGGCTCGGGAGGAGGAGACGCCTGTGGTTAGGAGTTGTGCAAAGTGAGCCACAAAAGGATTGGAGAGAGCTCGACAGCGAGACATGAGGGAAGACAAGCTGAGTCTGGAATCCCACAGCCTTATAAGGAGCCCCTGGTATTAAAGTTGGCCTAAAAGCTGCCTTTGTTTCTTCCCATTTCTCCTGCTGAAGTCTCTCTGGGAGGACACGATGTGCTGGCATAGCTAGTGCCTGAGAGTTTATTTTTGTTGAGCTGAGGGCTGGTTAGCGGCTGAGGCAGCTTGGACGCTGTTAACCGTTCTTTCTCCGTGACTTCCAACGTGTCAGAGGAGAAACTGGTTGCATGACGCAGAAACGGTGGTGACACGAGTTGGGTGTGGGGAGATTTATAGTTGTTTACTAATATACAGCTGGAACTGGAAAGGATTTGTAAGCAAAGGATTTGGGGGCCTGCCTTTCAGGCCAGCTGCAGTAAAGTACAGAGCAGGAGGTGTGTGCTCTGGGGATGGGTTGCTTATGGAAGTGGGGAAATGCACTGTAATGGAGTGGCTTTGTGTGTGAGAATGGGTTGCCCCCTAGTGTCTGCCCACAGGGAGGATAAGAAACCTGCTACTCCTACCAGCTCAGGAAAACAGCTCACTGAGGAGTCTGTGATTTCAGTTTTTTGTGTGTGTGTGTGTAAGAGAGAGACTTGACCGAATAATTGTATGCATCCATGTGGAACAATGGGGCGGGACCCACACTTTTGACCTCACACGCATTGAACATGCAAGGCCATGCCACATGGAAGATGCCATTTTATACAGAAACGCACCGGGGGGCGGGTCAAGCCTCTGGGATGGAGCGACGCTGGTGTGGGTGGAGTATAGTAACTCCTCACTTAATGTCGTAGTTCTATTCCCGAAAAATGCGACTTTAAGCGAAACGATGTTAAGTGAATCCAATTTCCCCATAAGAATTAATGTAAATAGCAGGGGGATTAGGTTCCAGGGAATTTTTTTTTTTTGCCAGACAAAAGACTACACACACACACACACACACACACACACACACAGTATAAGTTTTAAACAAACAATTTAATACTGTACACAGCAATGATGATTGTGAAGCTTGGTTGAGGTGGTAGAGTCAGAGGGTGGGATATTTCCCAGGGAATGCCTTACTGCTGAATGATGAACTAGCACTCGGCTGAGCCCTCAAGGGTTAACTCATTGTTGTTAATGTAGCCTCACACTCTACAAGGCAGCACGAATGGAGGGAGGGGAGACAGCATGGCAGACAGAGACACACACCCTGTGTGTGTGTGAGAGAGAGAGAGAGAGAGAGAGAGATTGCCTCTTTACGTCTGCTGACCCCACTCGAAGTACATTGCCTTGTTAAGTTAATCAGCAAGCTGAGACGTAGCTGCTACCAGGGAGCTCCCTCCGTCCTGAGCCCTGTCGTGTGTCCCCCCTGCTCTATGGAGATGGGGTAAGAGGGGTGCAGGAGCAGAGGGAGGGGGACACCCTGACATTAGCCTCCCTCTACCCCCCCCCCAGCAAGCAGGAGGCTCGGGGAGCAGCTCCAAGGCAGAGGGCAGGAGCAGCACATGGCAGTGGGGGGAGGGACTGCCGGGAATTGCTAGCCTGCTGGGTGGCTGCCGCACAGGGAATTTAGGGGAGTGGGGAGCTGATAGGGGGGCTGCCGGTCCACCCTGGTTCCAAGCTCCCACCAGCTAGCTGCAACGGGCTGCTCTTCCTGCAAGCAGTGGACAAAGCAGGCGGCTGCCAAACGACGTTAGAAGGGAGCATTGCACAACTTTAAACGAGCATGTTCCCTAATTGAACAGCAACAAAACAACGTTAACCGGGACAACTTTAAGTGAGGAGTTACTGTACCTGCACTTAAAAAATCAGGACTGCCCCCCGCCCCCTCATTTCTCATGGAGTCCACCCAGCGTGCAATGTGGCCTGACTGGCCAGGCTACGGCGAGTTGCTCTGGATTTACGCTGGCGTAACCAAGAGAAGAAGTTAGCCCACAGAGTTTAGCTACCAAGGCAGGCTCCAGGGGAATGTTACTGAGCAAAAGGCACGTAGGAAGCGAGAGCTTTTGACACACAGTCACCCAGGTGAGGGTAACTGGGGAGTAGGGTTGGGCCTGTTAGTCAGCAGATAAAAATCTTCATTAAAAATAAACAGACTCAGTGGCTGCCTTCCCACTCCTGGACAGCTCGGGGCAGGAAATGGCTTGATTGAGGTGTTGGCCACGGGCTGTGGTTGCCTTGTTTACATAAAATCTGCATTTACGGGTCTGGAGTGAGGATGGGGAAACAGGAAATGGTGACTGGGTTCCTTGGGACCTTTTGGCGCACGCTCCGTCTCCCTCGGAAATGGGGATGTGGTGATTGGAAGCAGCTGCAAGGCACTGAGGCCTGTCATCCAGCTCCCTCTTCCCAGCATCTCTGCGTCCAGGGCCTAGGGCGCGAAACTTCCACCTTGCGCCCCCCCCAGTCCTGCAGCAGCTCCCCGCCCCCCCTCCGCCCTGAGGTGCCTCCCCCCCCACGGCAGCTCCCCCCCCACCCTGAGGCAACCCCCCATGGCAGCTCCCCCCCCGGGGAGCTGTGCGGCAGCTCCCCACCTCAGCTCACCTCTGCTCCGCCTCCTCCCCAAGCACGCCACCCCCGCTCTAATTCTCCTCCCCTCCCAGGCTTGTGGTGCCAAACAGCTGATTGGCGCTGCAAGCCTGGGAGGCAGGAGAAGTGGAGCGGCCCAGGAACACTGTAAAAAAAAAATTGGGGCACCACTTTTTGGCGCCCCCAAATCTTGGCGCCCTAGGCAACCGCCTACTTTGCCTTAATGGTAGCACCGGCCCTGTCTGCGTCAGTGCAAATGCTCAAAGTACCGAGCTCTCGTTGTCCGTCTCACCCCACCCTTGCCGTGGAGACCTAGGCATGCCAAGTTAGCTAATAACATGGCCAGAGGGCAGCATGGTGTGGGTGAGTAGGGTGCACTCCTGCTAAGACTTGCCATGCTACGGAAAGGGCTAGCGTTGACT